AAAATCGTTCATATTAAATAATAAAATTATAACTAAAATCCACATTAAATCATAGCAGGTATCAAAGTGCAACATGTAATGGACAACGTCAAATTGATATGTATAATGAATTTAAAGAAGAAATAAAGTTGGTTTTAATGATAAATACCAATATTTAAAGAATCAAATGATGTAGAATTGGAGTCATAGACATCTTCGTCATCATAGCTGGAACTTGAGTCATAATTTGCATTTGCGGCATTGAATTCACATGAGCTATCACTGAGAGAATCGTCTGTTACCGTCTCATCACCAGAGTAATCACTCTCAATGTTAACATCTGGAGTTGAAGTGAATGTTGTGGGTTCTTGTATAGGAATATTGCTTGTGGATGAAAAAGCCAGATTATGATTCTCATTTCCAAAATAATTGAAGAGTTTGACCGTCATGGATTGAATAACACCTACATTCAACTGTTTTTTTGATTTATGAACATAACTACTTGGATGTTCATGAGGTTCCATATTTCTTTGATTAGAAAATGAGGAAGTTATATCAGAAAGAGGTGTAACAGTCAACTGTTTTTTTGATTTTTGAATAGAACAACTTGGCAGTGCATGAGGTTTTATGTTTCTTTGGTTAGAACATGAGGAAGCTATATCAGAAAATGGTGTTTTGAAATGCGAAAAGGATGGAGAATTTATCCTGAAAGGACCCCCACTGTTATTGCTAAGGTTGTTATGAAGTTTGTAAGATTGAGGCATCTTACCTTCCATAATACTTTTCCTCCGCTGTCGTGCTGAAGCAGCCAGTTGATTTGTAGAAACAATATTGAAACTCTTCATTGTACTTGAGTTGCTTGATGCAGATGCTGGTGAAGGTGAACTCATATTTCTTTCATTAAAGATTGATGAAGTTAAATCAGATAGTGGTGTTCTGATATTAACCATGGTTGGAACATAATACATTTGAGAGTTTTCAATGGGATTGATTGTGTTTTCATCAGTTCTTCCTTTTTTCAATCTTTTATCTTTAAGAATCTGCTTCCTTTTACGTCTTGCCATTGCTGTAACTTGTGGTTCCATAGTGTTGGTTAGGTGATGCAAAAATGAATGGGTAGAAAATCACTTTGATTGTATGGTTGTCATTCAATTTTTTTTTGTTAACCACATAAAATGATTGTAGACATAAAATGAATAAAGTTTTTGGTTATATGATAATAAATATAATTGTTAATACAACATTCACGGTTCCAAGATTTTGAAGTAAAATACTGAAGTCAACAGAATACCAAGTGATTATTTTTGTGAACCATTTTAATTATTAATAATAATAATTAATAATAATAATAGCGTTAAATAGTGTTAAGTGTTATTTCAAAATTTAATTAAAAATGTTATAATTATGGACAATGAAGTACCAATAAGAAAAGGTAACTTTCCAGATTCTAACCATTTTGCCAATTAATCTTGAATTGAAAAGAAAAGCAATGGTCAGAAAAAATCATTATAGTTTCACTTTGGAAACCGAAAATGAAGTGCATCATGAATAGTAACTACTCAAGCATGCATTTGATAGGCTTGAAACGTTTTTTGATATAGCCATACCATATTGATTGTATCTCACTCCAAAATCAAATTAAACGTATCATTTTAACTGATATTGGAAATGTGCGGTTACAATTTTGTCAGTTGGCGGGTTGTTGAATCTTCGAGATAAAATGGGCGGAGCCATTGGCGGGTTGTTGAATCTTCGAGATGAAGCAGAAATGTGCAGTTACAAAGATGTGGAGGTTATGTGGAACATGCTAAGCTTAAGCCTCACACATGATTCAACTAAAAGCATCACACAGACTCGAATTAAAGGGTGGTTTTAAAATCTTGGATTTAAAATCTCCTTGCTTGATCTTTAATTTTGATGCGAAGTGGATAATTGGAAAGGGTGGTTTTGGAGTTGTTTATAAAGGGTTTCTCAGGAATGGAATGAATGTGGCAGTGAAAAGAAGTGAGCCAGGATCAGGTTAAGGACTTCCTGAATTTCAAGCTGAGATAATGGTTTTGTCCAACATTCAAATTTTCTACTTTTAATATTGTATGCCACTGAGTGTTAATTTTGGTTGGTGTGGTGAATATTTAAAAAACGACAGTGCAAGACATTTGGACCAGTTTGTTGGACTGGTAGCCAGAGTCTACTCGCATCGAATAGAAGTGGTATGGTTTGCCTGTATATGGAGCATTTCTAAGGCAAGAAATGGAAAACTTTTTAATAGGCGTAGGCTTCGAGCAGTGCTGGCTCGGGAAGTGCAGCATTGGTGGAAATGTTGCAAAATTTCAGAAACATTTAATGTGGATGAAACTAAATGGTAGTAGGAATGATATATTAAAAGAAAGACACAAAGCTCAAACAATTATGCGAAAGCATGTTTACATGAACATGTTTCTATTGTACCCAAACAACGAAAGTAATAGGAAACAATGCAATTGTTTTAAAACATAAAATAAACCAAAACTAATACTTAGCATAATAAAATTAAGTTGTTTCCATGATAAACTAAAACTTAATAAACAGCAGTTTGTGTTCCATCTTTATATCAAGTTTTCCTCCTTGATTGGTTTTGTCATCTTTGTTGAGGAAAGTTGAACACTTTCAACATCTTCTGCTACATCGGTTATTCTTCTCTTCGACGGTGTCAGCCCCGAATTCGCAACAGAAGGATCATAATCTGCAGATGCGGACAATGGTTCCTGCAATATTTTAAGAAACATTGATTAATGATAATATGCAGCAAGCAATGTTGTACTTAATGTAATCAAAGACAAAAGTATATACTTACAGAAAAACTCCTCAAATCCTCTTGCGAGGAAGGCTCTGATACGCCAAGCTTCGATGCTACCTGTCAAGACATAATTGAATCAGAAAAACGATTTATTATACCAAAGTTGTTTCAGCGGCATAATTAATTTAGTCTTCAAACAAAACATACCTCTTCAGATTTGAAATTGTCCCGTATTTTCTTACGTGTTTCTTCATCGTCTTTGAACCCAATAACTGAGAGTCTTCCAAACTTTGGCTGAAAAACAGCTCTAATAGCTAATTCCTTTTTCAATAAAGCATCAAGTTCATATGGGAATTCCCAAGGATTGTCTTCACCTTCCTAAATTAATTCATCCAAAGGAAATATAAAATTAATAGCTAAAATTGATTAACAGTTGGAGAAATGATAAATTATAACTAAAATAATAAAAGTGCAACATGTAATGGACAACGTCAAATTGTAACTAAAATCCACGGTTGGAGAAATGATTCAAATGAATAATACCTCTATCAATTCAGTCTTAATTTGCAAAGCAGACTTTCCGATTAATTTCACACAGTCGCTGTCCCAAAAGATGAATCGGGCCTTGAATTTCCCATAAATTCCCATAATCTCAAGCTTGTATCTATAAGAATTAAAGTAGGTAATTAAACAATATTACATAGTGAACAACAATGGACTACATTATTCAAACAGGTACAAAACATAATGTTTTAACTCACACCTCGGTACGGTTTCAGTCGTTATATGATTCGCATAACACTTCAAATTTCCTTCCTTCAGAGACACACTTTTAGTACAGACACCACAACCATCGTAATACCACCCCGCCTGGCCAGCCTCAAATTTGTCCAATGTCGCAACGGTCACACAGGCTGTCTCCTATGGAATAAAGAATGCGAAATAAATATATCATATACAAAGTTATGAGATAAATAAAATATTTACTTAATTTAAGCTTACATATTGAAGACTTGAGATTTCAGCCAGACTAAGAATTTCTGCCTTCCATATAAACTTATCAAATTCAGTATACTGTGAGTTTTGGGTGGTTTCAACTTGCAAGGTAGATTGCGATAACTTTGGCAAATCATTTTGAAGACTGTGATGTATAACACAGTGAAAAAAACAATACATAAAATGTTATTAGCGGTTATAATGGATATCAAAATTGTATACAGGAACAAGATTTGACCAACAAAAAATTAACTACCTTTCTTTCAGCTTACTAATTTCAACGACGCTAACATCATTGATAGTTAACTTAGTGCCATTCCATGCGTTGGATACATTCAAAGGGAATCCTTTCTCTATGTAATTTTTTATTATCTGTAATCTTTTATTATAATTATGTTGCTCTAAGTCCGTAGGTTGATAAGTTAAAGAGAAAGCTAAGACATTATATATCTTGATTCAGAAAATGATCAAGTTAGTAAGTGATTAACTGTATTCATTATATATCTTCGTTAACATTAAATTTTTGAATTTTTTAACATAGGGAAAGTAATAAAATAGTGAACGGTGTATTTTAGACGTTAGAGGTTGTTGCTGAAGTTATTTCATTCTAATTATGTTGTTCTATGTTTTTGTATTTATTACATGTGTTTATGATCTTGGACATACACGTCACTTTTTGTTCTTTATCTATTTCTTAAAGCGTCAACATTATTTGATTTTCTTTTAAGCATAGATCTTGAAGAACCCAGTCCAACTGGAAAACGGCGCACACGCGCGTGTCGTTTATAGGAATTCACGACAGCTCCATACTTGTCGTTTCCATCTCCAGTTTCCCTTCTTCGCAATTAGGGTTTTTTTGGTTTGCTTTCAACATTGGGAGGTATAGTATTCAATTGATTCATTGTGCGACGAATTTGATGAATTCAGGTTCAAGATATAGTCTTTAGTTGAATTCATATTCTGGGTTTGTGAAATTTCTGAGTTTTAAATTGTGGGTGTGAAGTAATTTGGTTTGGTGTGTGATGAATTTGACAAGTTGAGGTTCAAGATCAATTTTTTAGTTGAATTCATATTCTGGGTTTGTGAAATTTCTGAGTTTTAAGTTGTGGGTATGAAGTAATTTGGTTTGGTATGCGGTGAATTTGACAAATTGAGGTTCAAGATCAAGTTTTTACTTGAATTCATATTCTGGGTTTGTGAAATCTAAGAATTTTGCGTTGTGAGGTTAAAGGGTTTAGTGTTGTTAAATATGGGTGCTAATTTTTCATCATGTGTGTGTGATGATGGGGATTCTAGTTCTATGAGGCCAAGGCTTGGGGATATACCTGAGAGTTGTGTGGCATTGGTGTTGATGTATTTGGATCCGCCGGATATATGTAAGCTAGCGCGATTGAGTAGGGTGTTTCGTGATGCTTCTTTTGCTGATTTTGTTTGGGAATCGAAGTTGCCTTTGAATTATAAGTTCATCATGGGAAAAGCTTTGGAGGAGGATAATACTAGTACTTCTGTTACTGAATTGGGGAAGAGGGATATTTATGCTAGACTATGCAAGCATAACTTGTTTGACAATGGGACCAAGGTAAGTTATCTTGGCCCGTTAACTCGAGTAGAGTTCATCTACATTTCTCAAAAGAAATAGAAAACTAGTAAGTCATGACATGTTTTTCAAGTGCTTGATGTTTATTTGTCAAAAATGTTACTTTTGTTTAGGAAATTTGGCTGGATAAGAGGACTGGTGGGGTTTGTTTGGCAATTTCTTCCAAAGCATTAAGGATTACGGGGATAGATGACCGCAGATATTGGAATCACATTTCGACCGAAGAGTCAAGGTGAGGTTATTGTAATTGAAACTATGTTGCTTATGAACTTGCTGTGTTGTGACTTTTGCTAGAACTTGTTCGGTTTTGATGCATACAGAATATTGGAATGTTCATTTTGCTTCTGAAACTAATTTTAACTAAGGCCGTGTAATATTATGAAATCTTTCGCATGTCTTGAGTTGGATGAGTATTCAAATTTAACTTGGTCTAGAGTCTAGACTCAGCTCGGTTAAACAACTTTTTGAACACATGAATACGGTGGAACTTGATATAGTATCTCTGGTTGTTTGTGTACAAATAGGTTCCACACAGTTGCGTATCTTCATCAAATTTGGTGGCTTGAAGTTGAAGGAGATATTGATTTCCAATTTCCTGAAGGTACATACAGTGTGTACTTTAGACTTCACCTTGGCAGGTCATCCAAGAAGCTTGGTCGTCGAGTTTGTAAGACCGAGCACATCCATGGATGGGACATGAAACCTGTCAGGTTTCAGCTCACAACTTCTGACAGTCAACGTGCTGTATCTCATACTCATTTGGATAATCCAGGGCACTGGATCCTCTGCCATGTAGGAAACTTTGTTTCCAAGAGTTCAAATAATTTGATGAATATCAAGTTTTCGTTGACTCAAATAGATTGTACTCATACCAAAGGCGGTTTGTGTGTTGACTCTGTGCTTATATGTAATAGTAGCATTGATGTAAAAAAAGAAGTGTAAATTGTTTTCGTAGGTAGGAAAACTGAGTCGCCTGAGTTGAATTTGGTCGCGTAGCGGAGAAGTTACGAATATAGTCACAAAAAGCTTCCAAATTTAGTTTTTTTTTTCTTTGGTAAGATAAAGTTTCATGGCAGAATCGAGGTGTGACTTGTGTATTTATTGTTTTGTTGATATTGGAAGTTGGTTGTTCTGTTTTCTCAAAGAATGAAATGGATCATGTGTTCTATTACTTCAGCTGGTTTGCATGGATAGTTTATGATTGAAAAAATGCTAAAAATATGTGTTATCTCTAACACAAATGGTTTTATCCTTAAACTTTTTTAAAGGATTTTACATAGTTATCATAATAGATATCATAGGAAATATCTCCATTTTTTAAAGAATAACTAAGATATTTACATGAGATAAAGTGATTTACATTTGAATAAATTTTTGCAAAAATGAGTCGTATTGTAAATTTCAATATAAAAATTATGTTTAAATTCAAAATCAATTTTGAGTGGTCTAATTGTGAAACCAAACATTCAACATCGCATAAGAGATCTCGCATCAACTTTCTTGGATTTATGACCTTTTTAATTGAAATTTCCTTTCCATTGTATGTGGTCCTTCCACGTTTTGTATGTCATCTTATGAACTTTATTTTCAACATGTACATGACTCTCACTCTTAAGATATTTAGTCAATAGAATAAAAGTAATCTCTTTAGACCACTTTATTTAAAGTTATAACATTAATTTCTATTTTTCATTTAAATTCAACGTTTATCATGATATATGATTCACAATTTAAGTCTTTTTTTTTTATAGATATTTTTTAAAGTATAAATCAGAATATCCTCTACATAAAGTTGAAGAGATTAATCCATCAAACTGTGGAAGATTGTATAGACGACAAAGTTCTTCGATCTTTTATATATCATCTTATGAACTTTTTTTTCAACATTACTCTCACTCTTAAGGTATTTAGTCAATAGAATAAAAATATTATCAAATAAAATAAACAAATATTATATTTATACACCAGCAAATTAGACACCATAACGTGTCCTTCGTTTTTTATTTTTATGTACTCCATATGAGTAGTTCTTCGGATTTGTGAAAGCATCTATCAATAAAAAGTAGCAAAAGATAAGGATAAAAATAAAGAGTTTTGATACAGTGTCAAAATTTTGGTGTTGATATACCTCATCTTTAAAATGAATGATCACACCAAACATTCTACAAAAATTAAACCTAAAAATAATCTTCTCAGACCTCTTTATTTGAAGTTATAACACTATTTTCTACGTTCCATTTAAATTCAATGTCTATCAAAAGTTAATAAAAATCATGATATATGACTCATAACTTAAGATTTTTTTGTTTTAGATATAAATTGAGATATCGTCTGTGCATAACTCAAGAGATTTCTTTCATTTCATTCAAGTGCTCTTAAATTGTTTTAAATGTTCTTTTTATAAAAATGATTAGTTAGGAAATTCTATATAGGAGTCATTAAATTTCATTCTAAATTTTAAAATGAATAGGAATTCTTGATTATTAACTAAAAATATTTGTCAATTTCTTTTTTTTTTTCAAAATTATATCATCTTGTTTTTCAAAACATTGTTATTTAGAAATTTCTTCACCAAAAGCATCATTATCATATTCATTGTTATCAAATGCATTATATTAGTGCTTGAGGCGAGAAAGAGAGAATAAAGAAATAAGGATTGTATTATTGAATTGAATTGTTACAAATTGATTTACAAACTAGTCTATTTATATAGAACTAACTTGTACACTAAGTAGGCTAACATATCATAATTGTGCTTGGGTTTGGATTACTCAACTTGAATTATATGTTATATCTCAATATATCCCCTATAATCTAAGTTGTCGAACCTACGCTAATCATAGTCGATCTGAATTATTCCTAATTTCTTTTTTAAATTCAGGAATCTTTCGATCTTTAATCCTTTGGTGAAAATGTCGACCACCTGTACTTCACTTGAGAAATGTCTTACTTCAAGTTCACCTCGATTTAGCTTATCCCTTAAGAAGTGAAATCTAGCTTCGATATGCTTACTTCTTCCATGTAAAACTACATTCTTTGCAAGATTAATGGATGACTTGTTGTCGATATGCAACACTAGAAGTTTCTTCACTTCGACCTCGACCTCTTCTAACACAGATCTGATCCAAATTTCTTGACATGCAGCATATGATCCTGCTATATATTCAGCCTCACACGATGACAATCCTACCACAAGTTGTTTTTATGAGCACCATGTGATTGCAGCACCAAAGACTTGAAAGAAATAACCAGTTGTGCTTTTTCGATCTTCCTTATCTCGACATCAATCAACATCTGAATAACAAGTAACATGTAGCTTCTTTACTTTTAGAGTCTCGTTGAAATAGTATTCCACAGTTTACCGATCCTTTTAGATATCTCAGAATTCTTCTTGCAGCCTTCATGTGTGACACCCTTGGTTCACTTATGTATTTGCTCACTAATCTATCTGTGAAACCTATACTAGGTCGACTGTTGCACACATATCTCATAGATCTAACTATTTGTTAAAACCAAATTATATCGACTTTGTCTTCCTCTCCATGCTTCTCTAACTTCAAATTTGGTTCGACAGGTGAAGATGTTGGAGTCGAATCATTCATCCTGAATCTCTTGAGTATCTTTTTGACATACTTTCTTTGATGCAACACCATACCTTGCTTCGACATTTGAAATTCCATGCCTATGAAATAAGACAATTATCCCAGATTCGACATTTCAAATTATCTCATCATTATCTCTTTAAACTTCGACAAGTTCTTCAAGATATTTCCAATTACCAGTAAATCATCGACATATAAGCAAATGATTGTTATATCTTGTGCTATAATTGAACATATACACCATACTCATACTTGCATTTTACAAATACTAATTCAATTAAGTATGAGACAATTGTCTTGTTCCATGCCCTAGGTGCGTGTGTGAGGCCATAAAGCGCTTTGCGCAACTTATAGACTTTACTCGCTTCCTTCTGAATCACAAACATTGGAGGTTGTGTAACAGAAACCTCTTCGTCTAAAGGTCTATTCAGAAATGATGATTTCACATCTAAATGAAATGTCGACTAGCCTTGCTTGTATGCCAAGGCTACCACTAGTAGAACAATATCCAATCTTGCTATTGGAGAAAATACTTCAGAATAGTCGAGTCCTGCTCTCTAAAGAAAACCTCGATCTACCAATCCCGCCTTATGTCTTGCTATCTGTTGTACCCTAAAATTTACTCTCACATGTTTCCCAAGGTTTTTTCTCTTACATGGTTGGTTACAAACACTTGCCTGAAGAAAATGATTTTTTTTAATACTAGCAAAGTGTCTTTTGATTGGCAGGTAACAATGTCCTTCGATTGGCATGTCAACAATGTCTTTTGATTGCATCTAAACAATGTCCTTCGTTTGGAATATCAGAACAGTGTCTTTCGATTGGCATGTCAACAAGCTTCGACTGGACTCCTGAAACCTTTCGATTAAGCATTGGCCCTTTAGCTTCGATTACGTATTGGTTCCCCTTAGAGAAATCATTAGTCCAAGTCTCATCTAGGCAAAAGGCCTCTACATGCGACCATCGATCCACCAGGCAGAGGCTCTCTCAGATTTGTCTGGGATTCACAAGGGAAAAGGTTTCTTCTATGATTGCCTTCAATGCATAAGACAAGGATTTACTTTGAGCTTGCTTTCAATGCACAAGGCCAAGACCCACCAACACAGTTTCTGCACTATGACACACAATACGACCCCTTCGAAAGAGCACTCCAAAGGTCCATTCAAAAGACACATATTGGTGGCCATTCGAAGGAGACACATAATTACTGAATTCAAGTTTATCCTATGATGAGTCTTGGTCCTACATGTGGCCATACCTAGGCTTCTTATACAATGGCATTCGAAGGAAGTGACAAAGGAGGCTTCGATTGACAGAATGAAAATTTCACTTGGGGCTGTTTGAATTAGGAAGCTAAGACAAATAGATGGGTCCAATCTAAAGCCATTCGAAGGACATGCAAATGATCCATTCGAAGGAGAAATTCAAAGGCCCATTCGAAGGAGACATATCATTGTCTGAAAGAAATGGGTTTGGTCAAATATTATATCTAGTTGGCAAAAAAAAAAGAGAAATATGCAAAGATGATGGCTGGCCCAAATCCCACATATTTCCATGCTCAACCTTCATGCACAAGCATTCATGCCAAAGGAATATTTGATTGGCCTGGAAATAGTTTTCGTTTGGGCTAGCTGAGTAGGGGCTCAATTGAAGAGGCCCCAATGATAAAACTTGAGCCATTCGAAGGAAGTAACTCAGAGTCAATCAAAGGGAAAGACTTGAACACTTCGAAGAAGACTCTAGGCCAATCGAAGAGCAAGGATAAGGGGTACTTAGAAGGCATGCTAACAAGGTGTCCTTCGATTGGCATATCAGAGCAAGATGTCTTTAGATAAGCATATCAACAAAATCAAGCAATCAATGTAGAAGCTGACTGATCCAAGAAGCTCTAATAAGAAGGTTTCTGAACACTTCGAATCAAGACTCTAGGCCAATCGAAGTGCAACGCTGGAGGGAATTCGAATGAGCAAATGTGTCCAGGTTCATCCCAAGGCTCAAAGAGGCATGAACATTTCAAAAATGGAAGTCTCTTAATGTGTCTGATTTTGGTCTCACGACCTTTAAAGCTGGGTTAATGGTTGTCTCTTGCCATTCCCATGCACCCACATCTCCTATAAATATAAGACACTAACACCACCGGTCAAGAAGGAGATACATACACGCATTGGAGACACACTTCCCCATAACACCCCCCCCCCCCCCATGTTATCGAAATTCTCATAAGTGGTCCCAATCGAAGGAATTTTCAGCAACTCTCCATTCACTCCCTGAAGTCTGCAAGAAGTATTCTCAAACACTAGCCAATTCACGCCAAGTCGAAGCATCTCATCCTTGGTAAAA